GTGACCTTGGCAGCGACCGCTGGGATTTCAACACCCCCACCCCCCTAAAAAAAACCAAAAAACCAGAAAAACGAAAGGGGTTTTGCTCCCTGAAGGAAACGTCCGTGTGTTCGGTGCCGGATTTTAGACCTGCCGCAGGGCCCGGGGTCGGAGCGGGGCCCCCCGCGGCCCTGAGCCCAGGGGGCTCGCAGGGACCCCACGGGCTCCCAGCAGCGAGGGGTGCTGCTGCCTGGGGTCTGGGGGCTCCGGCTGGAGGAGAAAAGTGGCTCCACGTGGTCCGAGCTCCGTGTTCGCACCGGTTGTGTCTCTTCCCAAGCGCCGCCCGGACCCTTCCCCTCCTCTTGGTCTGTAACGGCAGCGGAAGAGAAATTTTGGAGCCATCTCGAACGCGTCGGGCTCGCTGGGGCCGTCCCCGTTTCCCCCCCAGACCCGCTGTGTCCTTGGGCCCGGCGTCCTCATTCCCCAGCTCTAAAATGAAGCTGTGAGAGCAACCTCCGCCCACCCCACCGGCGGAAAGGCCTTGGAGCAAGCCGGGAGACCTTCCGATAGCCGTGGTCCAGAGAACAGGCCAGCCGGGGAAATGCCGCTGTTTCAGAGGATGGGTTCATTTTATTTGGTCTTTTCTTCTTCTCCGTACCCTCGGTGCTCCTTGAAGGTGTGAATGAAAGCTAGGGAGAAGAGCCCTGTGTCCCAGAGGAGACAACCGGGCTTTCTCAAGCCGCAGCAGCAGGGAGGAAGGACCTCTGGACCGTTGGCCAGTGCCCAACCTGCTGCAGGTCTTCGCCTCCGTCCTTGGACCAGGAGGCCTCCATCCCTAGATGCCGGAGGAGATTGCAGATTGTTTCTCCTGGCATCTCAAGAGCTGCTAAGATCTGTCGGTGGGCACGTTCAAAACTCGGCCGGTTGCTCCAAGCAGCCCGATCTGACTTTGGCGTTGGTCCTCCTCCGTGCAGGAGGTTGGACTGGAGACCTCGGAGGTCCCTGCCAACGATGTTCCTGTGTTTCTGCTCCTCAGGAAGGATGTGCGTGGTCCTAAACCTGGGACCGGGACTAGGACTGGGAGCAAGGCTTGAGGGACGTGCCCGTCCGTGGGGCGAGGCGGTCTGATCTCCTGCCAGAAATTAAACGTAATGAAGGTGACTTCTTGCTCTGGGCTGGATGGGGCTCCACCAAAACAGCTGCAAATGCAAATCCCAGAATCATGGCATGGTTTGGGTCGGAAGGGACCTCTCAAGGCCCTCTCGCCCA